CCCCTGGACAGCGCCACGTACGGCGGCGGCTTCATTTACCACATGGATGAGAGGTGAGGGGGTTTGGGGTGGGTGGGGGCGTGAGGGGATGGGGGAATGAGGGTCTGATGTGTGAGGCCGGGGATGGGAGGGTGTTTTGGCACACCCACAGCTTCGAGCACTGCGGGAATGCCGTTCCCCCTCACGCGCGCGACCCAGCATTTTCTTGTCCAAAAGGATGCATTCATCCACACGTACACGCATGCACGCACGCACGCACACAGACACGCACAGACACACACACACACACACACACACACACACACATATGCACACGCGCGCGCAAAATTCTCAATCATCACCCTGCAACCCCATGGCACCGCAGGCGTGTGGCCCTGGGCCTGGTGGTGGCCCTGGACTACTCCAACCCCTGGCTTTCACCCTACCAGGAGTTCCAGCGCTTCAAGGCCCACCCCTTCGTGGCGCGCACCCTGCAGGGCGGCACCTGCCTGCAGTATGGGGCCCGCTCCCTGAACGAGGGTGGGCAGACGGGGCTCGCGGCAAGGGTTCTCTTCGCCGTGGTCTCAGATTACTGTGAAAGCACTGTGTTGGACGGATGGCATAAGCCCTTTTTGGATCTTGCGGCTGCTGATGCATCTGTCTGTGTTGCATTCCTTGTGCAGAGGCCCCACCACCGCGTGGCTGCCAACCAGCCTGCACCTGCTAATTCTCATCCCGCTGCACTGCTCGACAGGCGGATTCCAGTCCATCCCGGCTGCAGCCTTCCCGGGCGGCGCCCTCATAGGCTGCAGCGCCGGCTTCCTCAACGTACCAAAAATCAAGGTGGGAGCTGCCCCTTCCCCCTTCCTGCAGCTTCCTGGTTTACGCCGGGTCCCCTCTTGCCACTGACGCGTTCTTGTGTACGCCACGCTTACACTTGCCAGCACATGCGACCCGCCTAGCCATGCCTGTGACCACTTTGCAATGCCGCCCCCGAAAACGTACCCCCCAGGGCAGCCACACCGCCATGAAGAGCGGCATGCTGGCGGCAGAGGCGGCCTTTGAGGAGCTCAAGAGGAGCCCAGAGGGCGACAAGGCGCGCTGCTTTTGTTGATGCAGCTCTTGGCAGGCACTTTGTTTTGCATCTCGGGCTGCTTTGGTGTGCATTGCATACCTTCACATCATCGCAACCTGGGGCATAGGATGAGGGCAGTGGGGTTGGGGGAAGGGGCTGATGCAGGGAGAACCTGAAGGGTTGCCGCCAGCCCCCGCCATTTACACAGTGACGTCATCTGGAGCTTGCACAGCCGTTGACGACGGCCAACAGCCTTCTCTTGGCTGAAATCCCTCCAACTAGTTTTCGCCGGCATACCCCGCGTACGACTTGCACTCATAGCAGCAACCCCAAAGTTGCTGCGCATTAACGCATCCAACCCACGCCTGACGTGCATAAACCATCCTTGCATGAACGTGCACCCCTCCACCCGCGCTGCCGCAGTCCCCTTTGCGGCTGCGGTCGTACCCCAAGCGCCTGGAGACGAGCTGGATCTGGTCTGAGCTCGAGCGGGAACGCAACATACGGCCCGCGTTCAGGTGATAGGGCGAGCTGATGACGGTTTAGATCTGGTGATCTCATGCAACGTTGCACTCGGCTCTCCACGAGGGCGCGTGTGCCGGGGTCGGGCGCAAAAGCGTGGGTGCGGGGCAGACGCGCTGCCGTGTGCATGCCCAGACGCAGGGTTGCACTTGATCTGCAGCTCTGTTGAAGGGACGGCGTTTTTGGGCATTGTTGTTTGCTGAAAGGAGAGGAGGGAGGCTGCGTGTTTTGGCTCGGGTTCAACGCAAAACGTGCAGCTGGTATTCCATTGGTGTGTTTGGGCTGGCATGATGTGAGCGACTGGAGGTTGGTGGTGGTTGCATGTTATTGTGTGGGCGCTGCACGCCAAGTCTGATCATGATGTTGATGTTTTGGTGCCGTCGTCGGCCGGACTCAGGCACACGAGTGCCGCCCTCGGCCTCCCTGATCGCCTGCCCCGACTTTGTTGCTGGTGACATCATCAGGTGGGGCCTGCTGCCTGGCATGCTCAACGCGGCGCTCACCACCTACATCACCCGCGGCAAGGAGCCCTGGACACTGAAGACCAGGTGGGGGCGGTAATGGGTTCAGGGGGTTTTTGTGTAGGGTGTAATGTGGGTGAGGAACTAACAGGTCAAAACCTGGGAAAACTTGGCGTTTTTGGGTGAGCACTGGAGTGACAGGGAGGCAGGAAAGGCGCCAGGCTCGAGGTCGCTGCGGGCGGTTGAGGGTCCTGAGGGCCAGCAGCAGGTGTTGAAGCGCGCCAGTCCGCGTCCCGGGCACCGCCTCCGACCCACCATCGAAACGCGCCCCACCGGCCCCCCTCCCTGCACAGGCACCCGGACCACGAGGCGCTGCGGCCGGCCAAGGACTGCCCTCGGATAGAGTACCCCAAGCCGGACGGCACCCTCACATTTGACATCCCCACCTCCCTGTTCAGGCGCGTGCCCTGGGGCGGGGGCACAGCACTCGCGTTGCGCTCCTGGGCAGTGTTATGAAAACAGCACTGCGCGGAAGAAACTTGATGCACAGGCGTCTCGTCAAGGAGCAGTCAAGCAACCTCGAGCTTCCGCAGAGCGGGCCACCCGCGACGCCGCCCCGCGCGGCCGGCCACCCTCGCGGCCCCTGCGCGCCTGCACCACCCTCGTGATGGGGCGCAAGCTCACCCCCCTTCTGCTCTGTCACGCGGATATACGCAGTCCTCGATCCCTGAACCTGTGGCCTCGGGCAACCCCTGATGCCCTGCCGTCCTGACACCCTGACGCCCTGTCCCCAACAACCTGAATCTTAAACCCTGGCAGGTCTGGCACCAACCACGACCACGACCAGCCGCCCCACCTGGTGCTGTCCAGCCCCGGGGTGCCAGAGGTGGTCAACCTGCCCTTCTACGCCGGACCAGAGGCTAGGTGCGCGCCCATTGTTGCTTAAATCACCAGCACATTTTGCATGGACATGCAATGTAGGAGTTTCCGAGGCCAGCACATTATTCAAGCCGCCTGTCAGCATGCCAGGCTCGAAGTTCCCTCTCGCGGCAGGCGCTGCCCGGCGTTTGTTGCTCTCCCCTGCATAGCAGCATGGCGACCTCCTCATGCTGTGCTGGCTGGGGCCGCACGCGTCTCCGTTGCCTTACACCCCAGCCGTGTGGGTCACCTTTGGCCGTGCTCGTCCCTAGCCCCAGGCCCGTCCTCATGGGCACCCCTACGCGCTAAGCCCCACCCCAACAACACCCCAGGTACTGTCCAGCCGGCGTGTACGAGTATGTGGAGGAAGAGGACACTCCCGGTAGCAGCAGCGGCAGCAGCAGCAGCAGCGGCGGCGGCATCACCACCAGCAGCGGCAGCAGTAGCAGTGCAGCGGCTACAAGCCGCGATGTCGCGGAGGGCAGCGGCAGTGACGAGGGCAGCAGCAAGGGCGGCCGCCACCTGCGGCGGCAGCGGTTGCAGATCAACGCGCAGAACTGCCTGCACTGCAAGGCCTGCGACATAAAGGACCCGCGGCAGAACATCAAGTGGACCGTACCAGAGGTGGGTCTCAACAGGGGGTATGACACGTCATGGGTGTGGGATCGAGGGCTGCTGGGTGCTATCATCGTGCGGCGTGGGTGGGCGCCTGGTCAACAGTGATGATTGACATGGATGTCTGTGTGGCTGCAGCATGTGTTTGCGTGTGTTTCGACAGGGTCTGGGGCTGAGCGCCCCTTGGCGCACCCCTGCTCACCAGCGGTTCGCTAACCTTGGACGCCCCAATACCTTGCATTGTGGTGCAGGGTGGCGGTGGCCCAAACTACTCGGTCATGTAATTTCCTTGTCAGAGATTAAGCGGCTGTCGCGGGTTCGTGTCTTGACGATGGTATACGGTATTGGTGTCGAAAAGCTGGGCGTTTGATGACCGGGCATGTGGACGTTTCCTGATGGCGAGGCTCATTTCTAAATTCACACCTGACAATAATCAGCACGACGTAGCTGTGCGCGCCTGAGAGATCACACAAGCGTATCGCAAGTTGCAGACTGTCCGAACGCAACGATAAGCTGGTCGACGAAGTCATGGCCATGACGCCTGTAGCCAGCGCTGTCCGTCGTGCCCTGAACCTGGGAAGCGTGCCGCAGGGCAGCCCGCGAGCAGCATCGCTGCACCGCGAGATTGAGGAGGTGGTGGTGCTGGCAGAGATCAGCCGAGCGGCTCAAGAGGACCCCATCAGCCCCCTGCCGATGCTGCTGGTCGTTGGTCTGGAGCAGCTGCTGTTGGGCGGGGAGAGGGAGGCGCTGCTTGCTGTCAGCGTCACTTTGATGTTGCTCGCTTACGTAGGCCCGCCAGGAGACCGCCTTGCCGAGCTGAGGCTGTGCCAGGTGGGCGCGTCCATTTCAACGTCGCATCGGCTGCAACAGCATGGCACACGTATCTACAGTCTGCACGGCTGGAAGCGCAGCGCCACCTTCATAGCCCCTCCCGCAGTCACGGCCCCATTCAGCATCCCATACACAGCTGTGCCACGTTCCTGAGCGCGCCCCAGTCACGCATGCGACCGTTTGCGACAATCCTGACCTCCA